TAGTACCATGATGAATCATCATGATGACAGCACGTTCCAGTAATTACAATGAGCTGATACAGACGTGTGTCTAGCGTCAGGAGACTGTGATGACAGCCCAAGTGGATCACAGTTGACAGCCTCGACGCTCTCTACTCACCATATTATATTTTACTAATATAAATGTCTAATTAGTATTCATAAACATAACACTTTATTCTTGAAAACTTCACAAGGTCTTTGACATACGTTACTAGTCCATAAAAATTATTACATATATATATATATATATATATATATATATATATATATATATATATATATATATATATATATATATATATATATATATATATATATATATATATATATATATATATATATATATATATATATATATATATATATATATATATATATATATATCACCAAGTTCATAAGTTGACGGTTCAAGTACTGGCAGGGATTCACTTTTATAATATACATTTTCCTCCTAACTATTTAAGTTTATTTAATTATAGTCATTGTCTTCCCGCTAAAGTTACCGATAACTGTTAAGAATTTGGTGGTTTGCCAGAGAGCTGTTAGGTACGCCTGAAGGCAGTTGGCTTGCTCGTGTACCTACAAGTATCTCGCAGATCCAAAGCTTTTAGTGATTCTTGCAGATCTCAGATTAGCTAACCAGCTTGTAGATATTAGAATAGGGCTGTTTCTCCCAAACCCTGACTGCAATAATTCCTCACCCCCGAACCTCCCAGTATGCTAGAGGTTAACACATGTGTTCCTAATTGACTTGCTACGCCCTCTCTTAGTGGCTGGAGACTCGGTACCCTCGATGTTTTATACTGCAAGTTTTATACACAACGAAACATCACGAGACGGAAGATCTGTTTCCAAATGTGTCTCTTGAAACTAAATAAAAATCTGAAACAATCTTAACATTTTCAAGTAATGAATACAACTCAATCAGACAATGTTTTTTATTTACAAGTCTGGGATGATGTAATTCACATATCTTTTATCATTTCCATATATTACTAATTGCTGCTACTGGACTCTTCCTCAGAAACGCAACATTTTCAACGAAATATGTTATTCTTACCCCAAAAAATTACATTCTGAAACAATATATTTCAGTTTCTTTTTTAAGCAATAGGAAGTTTACAATAAAAATGGGAAACTCCCGGCAGTGTATAAAGTCTTCCGAAGTGCTTCAGTTGTCCAGGAAAGACACCCAGAAAACACAAAACTCTCCGCTAAAATATATTAACTTAATGTTGTGGATTACTACTGTTCTTCTAAGCCGTGTGTATAACGCATCATGTGTGGGACTGCTGACACTCCACGTTGGCAAACTCTTAGCTTATGTTTATCTTCACTTCAATTTCAGTGCCAAAGTCCTTGCATAAGAAAATACCTTCATTATTTTTGTAAAAAGACTTTCATAATTTAAAAGTAGATATAGATAAGCAAAATGATACCAAAGGAAATAACGGCTTTTTAAGGACTTTTAGCTCTTGTGATATATAATACACACAGAAGAGGCAACGGTCTTGGCATAATATATTAGTCTGGAACAAAATGTCTGTATTACCCTATTTTCTCTCTCATGTTTTCTACACTTCATCTCTGATCCTTTCCACTATAACACACTTAGATCTTCTCAGAGTTTCCTATTTAGTTTAAAACGTTGTGTGTTCAATATATATATATAATAACTGAAAACAAAAATTCTGCTCTCATCCGCACACGATAAAAATATTTCACCGCTTTCACGTCACATCGTTATATTGATTAAGATGCTTTAAGACTGTAGGAGAAAATTCTATTGCCCTCATATTCTGTAGTGTTCATCACTCATTCAGTTTCATGAGGTATCGTGTCATGAAGCATACAAGCAGCCCCTCCTCATAATGGCCTAATGCTCGTAAATCCTGCTGCCAAATCCCGTGAGAAAGACTTCACACATTGTTCACCACTAATTACTTTAGGACTTTTCTCGATCATCGCTTCCTTCTCTTTCTGGGCTGGAATTGCATCTTAAATGCTTCACCCAAATAATTGGGTGAAGCAAACAAATAATTGCCGGAGCACTTTACCTAACCCAAGACAAAACAAATATGCGTAATTTTAATATCCATTATAAATCATTTATTTTCGAGAAAATATTGTTTATAGCTAGCCAGTACAAGTGAAGAATGCGTCTTGGAGGTTGGCCGCAGCTGGGACGAGCAGGACTGAGGAAGGGTTGTATACAAGAGTGTGTGTGAAGGCCGAGTCTGTGCTGCTGCTGTTGTTGTTGTTGTTGTGCTCGTGTTTGCTGACTCCCTGTGTGTGGCCCTCATGCTTCCTGCACTTCTGTACATGTTTGCTTTTTTGCCTGTTCTGATTCTCTTCTTCCTTCTCCTCTTGCATCCCTCCCGTGTTCTGTTCGTGTTCATCTGTGTAAAGCAGAAGTTGGACAAAGACAAATCCTTATCCTTCCTGTACAAGTTTAGTGTTGTTCTAATGACTGATAAAAGTTTTCCTTGTGTCCTGTATACTGTATGTGGTTACTGTCCTCTCCATAATTTTAGATAATTTTTACAAAATAAATAAATAAATAAATAAGTAAATAAATACAAAATAAATATATATATATATATGTCCTTTCAATAGACTACGATCTTATATCTGTTATTATCTAGTTACATATGTAAATTTTGTTGGATGCGCTGTTATTAAGAAGAAACTTATTAGAAAATTGAATTTTACCATTAATTACTCCTAAAACACTTTTAAGCCTTTTAGTGTATGTCCTCTAGCTAAATTTTTAATTATAAATTTTGTTATAAACAAAGAGTTTATATGGCCATTCCCTAAACACCACCATAAATCACCTGGCTTGCTATAAATCTTATTATTTAAACTTTACCCTGTCAATGTGATGTATCACATGATTTAAATAAAGTTGGTTTGTATAAAAGCTTCTCCTTTTGAGTTCTTTCTTCCCCTTGGTAGTTGAGCCAGGCGCGCCACCCTTACCCACCGGACCTTCTGCAACTTATCTGTGTCCTACAAGACCAATGGCTCTTGCTCCCGTTCAATCCCCGACCGTCCAAGTGGTTGGGCACCATTCCTTTCCCCCGTCCCATCCCAAATCCTTATCCTGACCCCTCTTCCAAGTGCTATATAGTCGTAATGACTTTGCGCTTCCTCCTCATAGTTCCCTTCCCTCGTATGGGATCGTGTGTGATCCTCCGTCTTATCTTACAGGAGCCTGCCTGGTGTTCCAGGTCCTGCAGGTTTGTATATCTGTTGCAGCCTGTATTTTTGTACAGGTTTGGATTACTCGGTTAGAGATCTACCTCTTGTTTAGATCTTGTATGAGTGAGTCTGTAGCGTCCAGTATTCTTGACAGTTGGTCTATTGGCTCATAGATTTTTCCTACTGGCATAGTGGATACTTACTGGTAATCCATGTACAGGTAACCTGGACACCTGTAACGGTTTGAATATTTTGTTAAAGGTCCTGTGTGCTGTTACAGAGAATATATATGTAGCACAATGTAATACATATTTCGTGTCGTATAATTAGGGTCATGTTATGATTGTTATTCACACAAAGGACAGATAATTTTTCTTGTTCCCCCTCAAACTTTGCTTTGACATTTGCCTAAGACAACTTAAGGAAGACAGCTTGAAGGTACCTGAAAACTACCGACTTCTTGTCGGTAGTCAAGAAGAAGACTACCTATAAGAAGTCATACTGTTTCATAAGTATGCAGCATTCAGGTACCTTCAAGAGCTTCAAGACGTCTTTCTAATTTGTCTTAGTCAAAGGTCAGAACAAAGTTTGGGGAGATTAACAGTCATCTTATATAATTTGAAGACATAAGTAATCAGAAAATAACACTACCCAGGAGCAAAAAACAAAGTTGTTACACAGTGTAATTTTTCTTAAGGAATAGCGTCTACTAAAGGTCTTGTTTGTCAGTTCAGAGTAACCTTGAAACCTGATCTGGATAGCGATGAAAGAAATTCTGGTGGTCAACCCTGCTGATCCAACGGGTTTAACAGTGATGGAAATTTTGATTGAATGCATAGACATCGAAAATTCTTGCAAAAATATATATCCAGGTCAAGGAAGTGTCCTGTTTGCTGGTTAGAGGAGATCTATTCCATTGTTAATCTCAATAATTTGGAGCCCTGCCTGTCTGTACAGGATGAATCATACAAGCAGGGCTAAGGTAAACTCTACTAGCTTATTGAGAGTATGTCATATATTTTGGAAATACTTGTTAAAGATAGTCCTAAATGCATGTCCAGGAAAGGCTCTGCTTGATAGTCCACTGAGGGCCTTAAACTTTGTCCACAGGATTTCTACTTGCTTGGGCCAAAAACACTGCCTTCTGGGTTTAGATGAGCCCTTACTGCTTCCTGGTCCATAGTAATCCCTATTTGCTAATGAAGGCTGGGACTAATCTGCTGTGGTCGAGAGTGATTAAATATTTGATGGGTTTTGTCTGCTGGTGAAGGGCGGGTTCTGATGGCTAGCAAAAGGCGTGACTTCTGACTTTTACTGCTGTAATTATATAGTTAAAGGTGCTAAATATATAGCCATGCATAGAGCATTATACGAGTCTAGGAGCTTGAAGCCGGCTAGCGGTCCCCACTGAGACAACAATCATGATTAGATGCTATACTCGCTTACTTCTAAATCAAGCTTCAGACTAATCTCAAAACATTAATCATCATTTTCCTAACGATATTAAACAATATATTATTAAAAAGATGATAAATAAATAACAACGATTGTGTGTGCATATATTTTATCGCGTAAACTGACATCCCTGAGTAGATGCTTTCTGTCCATCATCTTATGTTTATTATATACATCAAGAATTTAAAAGACAGATGAAGTTATTGGTACGAGTCCGTCTAGAAATACGCGAGGATTTGTTTAATATATAAACTCTTCTGCATGTTATAAGTAAATGATACTTGAAAACAAATGACTCCTCCTCTCTCGCTGTCTCAGATCTACTCGAATACACTTTCTTCAGTAGTTAGCATTAATACATTTTCTTCAGTAGCTACCATTAATATACTTTCTTCAGTAGCTACCATTAATATACTTTCTTCAGTAGCTACCATTAATATACTTTCTTCAGTAGGTAGCATTAATATACTTTCTTCAGTAGGTAGCATTAATATACTTTCTTCAGTAGCTAGCATTAATATACTTTCTTCAGTAGGTAGCATTAATATACTTTCTTCAGTAGCTACCATTAATATACTTTCTTCAGTAGGTAGCATTAATATACTTTCTTCAGTAGCTACCATTAATATACTTTCTTCAGTAGCTACCATTTTCTTCAATATACTTTCTTCAGTAGGTAGCATTAATACACTTTCTTCAGTATCTAGCACTAATACACTTTCTTCAGTAGGTAGCACTAATACACTTTCTTCAGTATCTAGCACTAATACACTTTCTTCAGTATCTAGCACTAATACACTTTCTTCAGTAGTTAGCATTAATATACTTTCTTCAGTATCTAGCACTAATACACTTTCTTCAGTAGGTAGCACTAATACACTTTCTTCAGTATCTAGCACTAATACACTTTCTTCAGTAGGTAGCACTAATACACTTTCTTCAGTATCTAGCACTAATACACTTTCTTCAGTAGGTAGCACTAATACACTTTCTTCAGTATCTAGCACTAATACACTTTCTTCAGTAGGTAGCACTAATACACTTTCTTCAGTATCTAGCACTAATACACTTTCTTCAGTATCTAGCACTAATACACTTTCTTCAGTATCTAGCACTAATACACTTTCTTCAGTATCTAGCACTAATACACTTTCTTCAGTATCTAGCACTAATACACTTTCTTCAGTAGTTCACTGTTCATTCGGTCCACGTGTCCAAGCCATCTATATATATATTCTTCTCATTCCATTTGATAATTAGCTTTCGTACTCTATATCTCTCCAAGACACTTTTCAAATTTAAATGAAATAAAAACACTTTGTCATAAATGACTGTACATGTATGAATTAGTTTAGACAAAATTACAGAACATGGTTTACCTAAGAGAAACTCATACTAAGAGTATTCCATGTAATTATTCTAATTATACACTGTATAATCTAGATATAAATTTAGAAGCTATACTGATCAATGGTTTAAAAAATCGTTATAATTGTGGCTGGAGTGAACCTATGGAGTCCGTCCTCACAACAAATAATTTTCCTGAGAAACCACACCCCCTTCCGCCCCTCCTCAAATCACCTGATTGTTATCAATATATTTGGAATGATCTGAAAGCATATTGCGTTGCCTGTATTAGTCTACAAGTAAACTGGCAAATGAACCTTTGTTATAGGGATTATTCTCAAGTTATAACTTTATTGTATTTTAAATCATTAGTTTAAAATATAAAACATGCATGCTGAAAGCTTTTTCTTATAAAAATTTCGGTTTTTGTAAACTAAATTCTCTGGCACGTTGAAATAGTTTTTGAATTCCATATATCACATTATCATCAGTAATACTCTGTATTAATGTAATCAAATGTAATGATACCTAACCTAACCAAATGAAACCATGGATAGAGAGTGGATAATACCACTAATTATGCTATTATCGTTCCCAATCCATTCCCTTGAGTGGATCCTCCCTGAGGACAAAGTGACATATGATACAGCCACAGAACACTCCTATGGTTTACCATTGGAGCCTTGTGACAGACACTGACAAAACATACATCATAAATGAAGGGACGACGACGTTTCGGTCCGTCCTGTACCATTCTCAAGACGATGGTGAGAATGGTCCAGGACGGACCGAAACGTCGTCGTCCCTTCACCTTCTAGTGTGTGGTCTGGTCAACATACTTCAGCCACGTTATTGTGACTCATCGCCTGCATACATCATAAAACTCAGAGGATGAGAAAACAATTTGAAGGAGGACTTATGTAAACTAATCATACCATGAACTTACCGAAATTTGCCTGTCCTCACACTTTCATTTCTTAATTTCTAAACTCTCCTAACATCAAAATGCCTTTCGTGATTATTCAGACTAATGGTGTAATTCTGGACCTTTCAGCGTTCAGAGATGTAAGACCTACATCATCAAGATATCATCAACGGAATATGCCACTTTGGCCAACACCAGAATTGTATTTAGAAATTTGTTTCATAATTCGTTTTGAAATTTGGATACCACACACATGTCCGACCAATCCTGGAGTATGCAGCCTCAGCGCTAAATCCATATAAAGTAAAACATAAGGCAAAGTTAGGGAACGTTCAAGGCTATGCCGCACGACAAGTACCAGAACTAAGAGGTATGAGTAACGAGGAAAGGCTACAGGAATTAAATTTCATTCACCTGGGGTTTAGGTGACTCGAACCACGGACCCCACGCGTGTGTGAGGCAGAGAACTACTGAGAAGTCTTCTATATTTAACAGGAATTAAAATTAAAGTCGCTATAGATGAAGATTTAAAGGAGACATGATTACCACATACAAAATTCTTAGTGAAATTAATCGGGTAAATAATGACAGCCTTGTTAAGCATGGATGGCATGTGCTCTCACAAGTGGAAGCCGAGTAAGCAGATAAGACATATGGACATTATATAGAACAAATATTCAGTGTCAGAGTAGTCAACAAATGGAAGTACTATGAAGTGATGTGGTGGAAGCAGACTCCATACTCCATATGTCCCATATGGCGGTAACAAATGGGCATAGTTTCTTTCACCCTGATGCTCTTGTTCACCTAGCAGTAAATAGGTACCTGGGAGTTAGACAGCTGCTACGGGCTGCTTCCTGGGGAAGTGTAACAAAAAAGAGGCTTGGTCGAGGACCGGGCCGCGGAGACGCTAAGCCCCGAAATCATGTCAAGATAACCCTCAAGATAACCTATGTAGATATTAGAGGCCCAATAGGCTTGGAAACCTGTAAACCAGTTGATAGAGAAAAGAGGCTGGACCAAAGATCAGATGCTCAACCCTCGGAAGCAAAATAAGGTGAGTACATTTAAGTGAATACACTATACGGTGAGTGACCACCGTCACTCTCTCTCCTCTTCCCTCTACATTTGTACGACCATTCATCCCTACTCAGCCTCCTCCCGTTATCCGAATATATCCTCCTTTTTTTCTTTCTTTTTGTGAGATATATACAAGAGTTGTTACATTCTTGTACAGCCACTAGTACGCGTAGCGTTTCGGGCAGGTCCCTGGAATACGATCCCTTGCCGCGAAGAATCATTTTTTCATCCCTTTCTTATTAAAAGTACACATTTTACTGTTGCGTTAAACAGAGGCTACAGTTAAGGAATTGCGCCCAGTAAATCCTCCTCGGCCAGGATACGAACCCATGACATAGCGCTCGCGGAACGCCAGGCGAGTGTCTTACCACTACACCACGGAGACTGTTGTTATAACAAGAGACTCCTCTTGTTATACGAATCTATCCTCCTCTATATCTTTTCCTCGACCCAATTCCACTGACCCCCATTTCATCATTCCAGTTTCTGGCCTCGTCTTGCTCCTCCCGCTCCTTCCCCTCCCCCCCCCCCCCCCCTCCCAAGCACAGGGCCAGAGGAGAGCCCTGGCCCGCCAGATCCCACAAGAGAAGGAAGATTTATCTACGGAAGCCTGGGATTAGAAGAATGGGTAGAGATGTGGTGAGATTCATTCAGGCTGGAAGGGTTTTTACACTTTCCCAGAATGTTTTTTTTCTGTTGCCTAACTCTGCTTGCGGGAGTTGAGCTTCAGATCTTGAGTCCCGCCTCTCAACTGTCAATCAATCAACTGTTACTACTATTTTTTCACACATACCCCCGGGAAGCAGCCCGTAGCAGCTGTCTAACTCCCAGGTACCTATTTACTGCTAGGTAACAGGGGCACCAGGGTGAAAGAAACTCTGCTCATTTGTTTTTCCGTTGGCTGCCGGGATCGAACCCTGATCCCTAGGTCCGCGAATCTAGAGCCCTGTCCACTCAGACAGCCAGCCCCTGTGTGTGTGTGTACTCACCTATTTGTACTCACCTATTTGTGCTTGCGGGGGTTGAGCTATGGTTCTTTGGTCCCGCCTCTCAACTGTCAATCAACAGGTGTACAGGTTCCTGAGCCTGTACACCTGTCAACCTGTCCTGAGCCTGTACACCTGTACACTTGTCAACCACTCTGACACTAAAAGTGTCAGAGTGGTTGACAAATGTGTGTGTACTCACCTAGTTATACTCACCTAGTTGTGCTTGCGGGGGTTGAGCTCTGGCTCTTTGGTCCCGCCTCTCAACCGTCAATCAACAGGTGTACAGGTTCCTGAGCCTATTGGGCTCTATCATATCTACACTTGAAACTGTGTATGGAGTCAGCCTCCACCACATCACTGCCTAATGCATTCCATTTGTCAACCACTCTGACACTAAAAAAGTTCTTTCTAATATCTCTGTGGCTCATTTGGGCACTCAGTTTCCACCTGTGTCCCCTAGTGCGTGTGCCCCTTGTGTTAAATAGCCTGTCTTTATCAACCCTGTCGATTCCCTTGTGTGTGTGTGTGTATGTGTGTGTGTATGTGTGTGTGTGTGTGTGTGTGTGTGTGTGTGTGTGTGTGTGTGTGTGTGTGTGTGTGTGTGTGTGTGTGTGTGTGTGTGTGTGTGTGTGTGTATGTACTCACCTAATTGTACTCACGTAATTGTGCTTGCGGGGAATGAGTTTTGGCTCTTTGGTCCCGCCTTTCAACTGTCAATCAACTGGTGTACAGATTCCTGAGCCTACTGGGCTCTATCATATCTACATTTGAAACTGTGTATGGAGTCAGCCTCCACCACATCACTTCCTAGTGCATTCCATTTATTAACTACTCTGACACTGAAAAAAATCTTTCTAACGTCTCTGGCTCATTTGGGTACTACGTTTCCACCTGTGTCCCCTTGTTCGTGTCCCACCCGTGCTGAAGAGTTTGTCTTTGTCCATCCTGTCAATTCCCCTGAAAATTTTGTAGGTGGTTATCATGTCTCCTCTTACTCTTCTGTTTTCCAGGGATGTGAGGCTCAGCTCCTTTAGCCTTTCCTCGTAGCCCATTCCTCTCAGTTCCGGGACGAGCCTCGTGGCATACTGAACGTGGCGGCTGTTCAGTAGACTACTGAGGCGGCCTAATAACCCTTCCGTGAATGACAAGCCTTAAAACTAACACCAAACGCAAACAGCAGTTTAAGTATCCTTAAAAACTTCGTCCTCTCCGTAAAAAATAAAATAAAATAAAATAAAATAAAATAGACATTTGGGAGGACAGCCAGAGTGAGCACCTCACAGGTCTTTGATCATCCAGCTTCCGGACACCACCTTGTCCTGGACAATATTCCAGGGAGGACAACATCAAAGGGTTCCAGGCGCGAGACACAGCCACAATAACGCCTTCTCAATGTTCTGTCGGAACCACAAAAAGCGTGGAAGTATCAAAACGAGATTCTCACCATTCTGACAAGGCCAGGCTTGTGGTAGCCAGGATGCTCGAAGCTCATATTGTTGCTAAATACACACACTATTTCTATATAAAACAAACTTAAAAAGAGGAGACTGAAGAGAAAGACGAGTTCAACTTCATTGTGTTCACTATTCACCGTCACTATCATTGTAAGGTTTATCGCGCTTCACAAACTATCTTGTAATTATTATATCACTATTCCATTCCAAAAATGAAATTTCGCAGCCAAAAAATTATTTTTTAAAATAAAATAATAAAATATTTAAAAATAAAATATTTTTTTATGCGAGTGCATCGAAAAAAAATATTTAATTTATATTTATTTACCCCACCCCAATTTGCAATGCTCTACACACAAAAAAGTTGCATGCACGCTAACGGGAGAGAGCATCATAGCCCCAGTGCTTGTATTAACGTACCCGGCCACTCGTCTCAGTGTAGAAATACCTCTGGAACATTCCTGAAAGTTAGTCAGTGACGCTGACGTGACTAATGACCCAACAATTCTTGTCCGGATTCGCACTTTACTTCATACAACGCTAAATTGATTGTATTACATTGCCTAAACTGTATGAAAAAACGTCAGACAAGAGCCCAAGGATGTTGGAATATACTAAAGAGTGGAAGAATTAACTAGTGGGTGAAAGAGTAAGCCCTCGGATAGCGGAATTTTCTGGTGTATTGAAAAATTATCTGAAGGATTTGTCAATTAGCTGGTGAATTAAATACAATTTGTGAAATTTAATGAAAATTTCCGGGAAAAGCTAGAAAATACGGGAATTAAATGGAAGGTGGATAAATAGCCGAATAATTTAAGAACAACTAAAGAATTGTGAACACCGCTACACATGGATGAATACCTTGAGTGTGACATGAAAACTGTTGTATGGAAGGGTTTATGTAGAGTGGAGAAACGACTGCAGGGTGGAGGAACGACTGCAGGGTGGAGGAACGACAGCAGGGTGGAGGAACGACTGCAGGGTGGAGGAACGACTGCAGGGTGGAGGAACGACTGCAGGGTGGAGGAACGACTACAGGGTGGAGGAACGACTACAGGGTGGAGGAACGACTACAGGGTGGAGGAACGACTACAGGGTGGAGGAACGACTGCAGGGTGGAGGAACGACTGCAGGGTGGAGGAACGACTACAGGGTGGAGGAACGACTACAGGGTGGAGGAACGACTACAGGGTGGAGGAACGACTACAGGGTGGAGGAACGACTACAGGGTGGAGGAACGACTGCAGGGTGGAGGAACGACTACAGGGTGGAGGAACGACTGCAGGGTGGAGGAACGACTACAGGGTGAAGGAACGACTACAGGGTGGAGGAACGACTACAGGGTGGAGGAACGACTACAGGGTGGAGGAACGACTGCAGGGTGGAGGAACGACTGCAGGGTGGAGGAACGACTACAGGGTAAAGGAACGACTACAGGGTGGAGGAACGACTACAGGGTGGAGGAACGACTACAGGGTGGAGGAACGACTACAGGGTGAAGGAACGACTACAGGGTGGAGGAACGACTGCAGGGTGGAGGAACGACTGCAGGGTGGAGGAACGACTACAGGGTGGAGGAACGACTACAGGGTGGAGGAACGACTACAGGGTGGAGGAACGACTACAGGGTGGAGGAACGACTGCAGGGTGGAGGAACGACTACAGGGTGGAGGAACGACTACAGGGTGGAGGAACGACTACAGGGTGGAGGAACGACTACAGGGTGGAGGAACGACTGCAGGGTGGAGGAACGACTACAGGGTGAAGGAACGACTACAGGGTGGAGGAACGACTGCAGGGTGGAGGAACGACTGCAGGGTGGAGGAACGACTACAGGGTGAAGGAACGACTGCAGGGTGGAGGAACGACTGCAGGGTGGAGGAACGACTGCAGGGTGGAGGAACGACTACAGGGTGGAGGAACGACTACAGGGTGAAGGAACGACTACAGGGTGGAGGAACGACTACAGGGTGAAGGAACGACTACAGGGTGGAGGAACGACTACAGAGGAACGACTGCAGGGTGGAGGAACGACTACAGGGTGGAGGAACGACTGCAGGGTGGAGGAACGACTGCAGGGTGGAGGAACGACTGCAGGGTGGAGGAACGACTACAGGGTGAAGGAACGACTGCAGGGTGGAGGAACGACTGCAGGGTGGAGGAACGACTGCAGGGTGGAGGAACGACTACAGGGTGAAGGAACGACTACAGGGTGGAGGAACGACTACAGGGTGGAGGAACGACTACAGGGTGGAGGAACGACTACAGGGTGGAGGAACGACTGCAGGGTGGAGGAACGACTGCAGGGTGGAGGAACGACTACAGGGTGGAGGAAAATTATCAATCAGATCAAGATTAGATGATTAGATCTCTGTCAACGGTTTGTACAAATTTTGTCTTTTAATTCGACCTGTATCAACCTCTCTCATTAAGAACAATGTTGAATTAGTAAACTAACACAACTGAATGCCAAACCACTTTAATGTTGCGAGTTTCAACGTGACAGCTTTGTTTAATAGAGTCACTGTTGATGACTTACTGGAAGACATGTTGACCTTCCTATATGTAGCGTGGAATTGCCGGGAGGCTCTATTATTACGTTGAGTAAACATGCAATCACAAATTGGTCGTTAAAAATGCAGGTACAGTAAAGAAAAAATGGTGACAAGGCACATGAGAATGTGCACATTGGCTCGACTTGAACCATTAAACTATTCACAATATACCACTTACATACTTCGTGTATTTTACTATCTGAGAGAACTTCAATATTTGTATAGGGGTTCAGTCATTCCAGTTTGCTGTTAGTTTCAGTCAAATATTTTTTTTAATCCCTGACTGCTATTTGCCCTAATGTTTCCTTAGCAATGCTGCCATAATTTCATAAGAACATCAGTAGGACCCATGAGGAGTCGAACCTGCACACTGTGAACTCTCAAACACACGCCCTAAGCTACTACGCCACGACATGCTGCGGTTTAAGGCGTGTGCCTCGGAGTACCCAGTGTGCTGGTTCAAATCCTCCTCATGGCTCTTACTGATGTTCTCATTGATATTTCGCGTTAATGTGATTTCTTTGTGTAGACTTTCATGGCTGTCTGTAAATATAATATTTACTGTTAATAATTGTTGTGGTGTTTTCCTCCACTGTGCCTATTCTTGATATCTAAGTTGGGTCAACATAGGATTGAGGAACTAATTACCACGTGCTGGTAACACTACATAGAGAATATGTATTGCTAAACACATTAAAGGTGGGCATGGTCTCAGGCTACAAAATGAAAGGATGTGTAAGCAGAGGTATTGGGTTGAGTTTGACCGACACGGGTTAAAGAGAGAATGGACCCCACTAAGTTACTTCAGAACTGAGCCAATTACCGAAACGGAGCTTCCTTCCATGGTCTTAATTACATACATAAAATATTATTTAAAGGGAAAACAATATTCAATATTGAATATATTCGTCCTTCACACAAGAAGACGGGGGACGGTTGCTGTATTATAAAATACACAACTCATACTAATTGTCCATGGTTTAGTCGGGGAGTTGTGCTAAACCTCTTAAATTAAACGCTTGCCGATATACAGATTTTTGTAGAGCAGAAAAATAATAATATTAACGAACAAACACACAAATACAGAGCTTCGGATCTGATTTTAACGGTAATTATCACAGAACATGTAAATTATCTGAACGTAAAGATGCAAAGACGTAACAAATTGGATAGAGCGTTTCTGTAACTGTAACTGTATCTCAAAGGCACTCCTCGTGCCTTTGAGATTTGATAAAGTCGTATTTCGGGTTTTTCTTAACTATTAAATCCCTGCAAGACATTCCTGATTTATCTCCTGATGACACACGCACCGACTTGAACTGCAGAAATATTTCTAAGTGAGGTACTTTAAATACCACGAGAAATGATTCTTACTTTAAAGAATCGATGCTGTATCGGTGTCATGAAATACCAATATTTCTTCCGCTAGAAAGAGTTGAGATTCACTGACATTTTGTTTTGCTTCTTTTCGAGTGATGGGATTTTTTATCAATATCCTCCATACAGTCTATTTTTGTGACCACACATCTGTGAACACCAAATTTCTGCATTTAACATTACTGTCTCAACTTCATTCTAAACAAACTGATTCACAACTCATTTCAAAACTCAGGCTTGTTATATCTCAACCATTTGCTCTAAACTTGAATGCAATCTGCCAGAGTTGTTTACGCAAAATGTCAGGACGCAGCAACAGCAGGCAATATGACAAATAAAAGTCATTATTAACATTATTTGTTTTGTTAAGTGTCTTGACTCTTGCCCTTTGAGTAGTAGTCCTTCTTGTCATGGTCGCAGTAGTAGTCCTCCTTGTCATGGTCGCAGTAGTAGTCCTCCTTGTCATGGTCGCAGTAGTAGTCCTCCTTGTCATGGTCGCTGTAGTAGTCCTTCTTGTCATGGTCGCAGTAGTAGTCATGGTCGCAGTAGTAGTCCTCCTTGTCATGGTCGCAGTAGTAGTCCTCCTTGTCATGGTCGCAGTAGTAGTCCTCCTTGTCATGGTCGCAGTAGTAGTCCTCCTTGTCATGGTCGCAGTAGTAGTCCTCCTTGTCATGGTCGCAGTAGTAGTCCTCCTTGTCATGGTCGCTAGTAGTAGTCCTTCTTGTCATGGTCGCAGTAGTAGTCCTCCTTGTCATGGTCGCAGTAGTAGTCCTCCTTGTCATGGTCGCTGTAGTAGTCCTCATGTCATGGTCGCTGTAGTAGTCCTCCTTGTCATGGTCGCAGTAGTAGTCCTCCTTGTCATGGTCGCAGTAGTAGTCCTCCTTGTCATGGTCGCAGTAGTAGTCCTCCTTGTCATGGTCGCAGTAGTAGTCCTCCTTGTCATGGTCGCAGTAGTAGTCCTCCTTGTCATGGTCGCAGTAGTAGTCCTCCTTGTCATGGTCGCAGTAGTAGTCCTCCTTGTCATGGTCGCAGTAGTAGTCCTCCTTGTCATGGTCGCTGTAGTAGTCCTCGTTGTCATGGTCGCAGTAGTAGTCCTTCTTGTCATGGTCGCAGTAGTAGTCCTCCTTGTCATGGACGCAGTAGTAGTCCTCCTTGTCATGGTCGCAGTAGTAGTCCTCCTTGTCATGGACGCAGTAGTAGTCCTCCTTGTCATGGTCGCTGTAGTAGTCCTCGTTGTCATGGTCGCTGTAGTAGTCCTCCTTGTCATGGTCGCAGTAGTAGTCCTCCTTGTCATGGTCGCAGTAGTAGTCCTCCTTGTCATGGTCGCAGTAGTAGTCCTCCTTGTCATGGTCGCAGTAGTAGTCCTCCTTGTCATGGTCGCAGTAGTAGTCCTCCTTGTCATGGTCGCTGTAGTAGTCCTCCTTGTCATGGTCGCAGTAGTAGTCCTCCTTGTCATGGTCGCAGTAGTAGTCCTCCTTGTCATGGTCGCTGTAGTAGTCCTCCTTGTCATGGTCGCAGTAGTAGTCCTCCTTGTCATGGTCGCTGTAGTAGTCCTCCTTGTCATGGTCGCAGTAGTAGTCCTCCTTGTCATGGTCGCAGTAGTAGTCCTCCTTGTCATGGTCGCTGTAGTAGTCCTCCTTGTCATGGTCGCAGTAGTAGTCCTCCTTGTCATGGTCGCTGTAGTAGTCCTCCTTGTCATGGTCGCTGTAGTAGTCCTCCTTGTCATGGACGCAGTAGTAGTCCTCCTTGTCATGGTCGCTGTGTGGAAAAATCATATAAACTCTAAACCACTATAGCAAATGTGTTTGTACTAGCCCGGTACTAGCTGGGAACCCGTTCCTACTAGTTGTTCGTCTTCCCACTTGCTATTCCTCTTCTCACTAACAGTTCAACTGTCTACTAGCAGTTAGTTCCCCCTTTCCCACTTACAGTTTTACCTCTTTTTTTCAGAATTCATCCTCCATCTCACTGTTTTCCGTTCTCTTCCCCCGCTCTTGGTACTCTTTCTTACTTGTATTTCACTCCTCTTTCACCACTCTTTCTCCCATTTTGATATTTTTTCCCATTTAGTATAGCGCGCTTATTGCTATTCCCTCTCATGTCTTGTTATGCTCCCTTCTATCATGCTATTCTCCAATCTTTTCATTACTTTTCCTCATATTATTCCTCCTACCATCTTAGCGCTAACTATTCGCCCCTGGTCTTCTTGTCCACTCTTACTACTTCCTCTCCTATCTTAATATTCAAATTTCATTTTGGGATTTTCTCTCCGCTCTTCGTTTTCCCCTTCCCTTTGGCGCGCCCTGTCGGAAAATCCGACACCATTTTATATCATACAGATAATAGCTGTATTGTATAAACAAGTTAACCATAGAAAACGTAACTTGTAGTGGAATTACCGTCTAAAGAAAACGGGATCCCACACGCCCCCATCCTGTTGGCATTCTCTTCCCTGGTTTGTATTCTTCCTACTCTGTTTTTCCCTACCCTTTAGGTATTTTTTATATGGAGTTTTCTCTCTCTTGCTCTTCCCTTTTCCTACTTATTAGCTGTCTTCTTTTATTCCTCGCCTGTTTTGTATTCCCTCCCGCTTTAGTATTTCCCCAATTTATTTTCTCCCCCTTTTTCTTATCGTCTTCAATATTCTCAATTGATTTAATCATCCCATCTCGGTATTCCCATCAATTATTGTAATTTTTGCCTTCTCCATATGCCACCCCCTTCATTCTTTGTATTACCTCTCCTCAGAGTAATCGCTAATACATTACTATATTTATATATATATATATATATATATATATATATATATATATATATATATATATATATATATATATATATATATAATTAATAGAACTATAACTTATTAGTCACGCTAAATCAGCTATTCTTTGACTTCTCTATTTCTAAAGTCTGTCTGGATAATTTTCGGACCATTTCAAACGTCAATACGAGTACAGTTTAAGATTTACATGAAGGTAAGGAACATACTGCAGGAATGAAGGATGTTGAAATGTGATGTTAGGGTTAATTTGTTTTACGGTCCAATACATCCATCTGTACCCATTTGGCAACTTTTGGAGAGTAATTTTTGTTCGATCCCGCATGTACCTTGAGGCTACCTTGAGGTGCTTCCGGGGCTTAGTGTCCCCGCGGCCCGGTCGTCGACCAGGCCTCCTGGTTGCTGGACTGATCAACCAGGCTGTTAGACTGTAATAGCCACAAAATGCAGGCTTTCAAAATTACAGCCAACAGATCTGCATGTTGATGAGGGTGGCTCTATGTGGACCATGGACCAGTGTTACGGGACTAATTGTACTCTCGTTATCAACAACTTCGTCTACAATAAGGGAAATGTATTAATTCCGAAATCTTTTATCTTTTATTCCTGATTAGTGAGTTGTAGGTATATTAAGGCAAACCGGTTAGGATGCTAATCGAGACACAAAACAAGGTAATTATTATTTGGAACAAGATTACCCGAAGAGTTATGACGTCACGAGACGCACCACCATGTTGAAATAGAGGATGATGAGGCGAGAACCCCAGACACACCTCCTGTCTTCTGGGTCTCTCTTGGTCCCCACTGATACTCGCTTACCAGATAGTGGAAAAAAGTCACAATTTTCAACAATATTATTGTAACATTATCTGGAACGAGTGTGTCTATTTGCTCTATCGTTCATAAGGTCAACTGCTGACCTTTAAGTAACCTTTAAGTACCTTTAAGTAACCTTCCGAACTGAAATTCATTATGACGTTCCGACGCACAATCAGGGGGTGTTGGGGGGTCTTCATTTGGTGTTCTGGCGAGCAAGCAGATGTCTGCCGATAGCTTAAATGTGTTAAGGCTGCAGCCAGATTGGACATGGCTATGATCACCTGGGGGTGTTAGTCGTGGACCGAGAGCTGAAGCCTCTATAGTTGAGCTTACAAGGTGGTAGCATGGTGACCAAGGAAGTAATGTAGTCAGAAATGATCTCGGACTTTAATAGCCGGACACATCTCCTAGTTCCTACACCTAAGACGTAATTAACTATTAGAAGGTAAGACCTGGTTGGCTGTGTGTTGCCAAGACATCATCGGCGGACTGTAGGTGGCAACATATATCCCTAAGGAGCACTGGAGTTGTACAACGTAGGGCACCTTACAAGTACAGCCAACAAGCAAAGCAGAGGACATGTTGCAACCACTTACCTGAGACAGACGACGAGCGAGGACTGACAACTTCCGGCTGGGTGTCACCATTTTGGTGAAAGGGATGCCAAGTGACCTTTAATTAAATACTATTTTATTAAGAAGTGGCTGTAGTGTTCTTAATGACCAGATAAAATTTACATTTTTTATTTCTTAATTGACAAACATTACCAGTTAACCATATATGTTTATTTATACATCTAAGTATATGTCAGAACGTGAAGTATCAACCTCAGGTATTTAAAAGTACTCGTTTTCTTGAGGCAGAATCTGACAGAAAACGAGCCCTCGTCAGAGGAGGTAATATCTGTTTATTTGCAAAAATCGTTTGTTTCTCTGTGGCAAGGTTAATGAAGGTTAAGGGGGTACTTGACTATATGTGTGTATATCACGAAAATAAACACGTGATTAAAAATGTGACAGTGTCAGACCACGGAGGAAAATTGAAACAGGAATTTCCTTAAGTACTTTCGTATATTAGTACATCTTCAGAAGGAGTGACTCCTTCTGAAGATGTATTAATATACGAAAGTACTTAAGGAAATTCCTGTTTCAATTTTCCTCCGTGGTCTGACACTGTCACTTGACTACATGTATAGGGAGCCTATTTGAGTTGAATTTATCCTATGAAGTTGAAGGTGAAGGTTGTTAGATTTTTCTATAGTAACATAGTTGATATGCTTCTGTCTTCCCAGATGTCAAAACGAACAGTTGAGTATCTTTGCGCCTTATTTTCCATTGTTTATATATATATATATATATATATATATATATATATATATATATATATATATATATATATATATATATATATATATATATATATATATATATATATATATATATATATATATATATATATATATATTAACAATTAATATACAAGTGTTTTTACATTCTTGTAAAGCCAGCAGCACGCATAGCGTTTCGGGCAGGTCCTTAATCTTAATTTTCGCTGGAATACGTCCCGACAAATTGTTTAACAACCAGATACCCATTCACTGCGGGGTAAACAGAGGAGTATAGTTAAAAATTGGCGCCTAGTCAATCCTCTCTAGCCAGGGATGATTACTATGAAGTTTAAAATTTGTTAACTCGTCCTATTCCTTGAGATTGTAAATTTTAATAGACTATAACGAAATTAAGCTCATATATATATGTATTTTCATAATTATAAAGTAGTTTAAGAATATTATTTGTTTGTAAATTGTGAGAAAGTGTCGTCGTGTGCTAGAATATTGTCTTTGAAATAATAAAACTTTACTCCCATACAAGACAAGACTTTCCTGTCGTGAACGAGGTTACTGGCGAGTAATTGACAGGTGAATTAAACAATGACACACGCAAGATCAGTTGGATTTATTTAATGATGAAGTGGGTTTTGGCAGCGTATTTAACACCAGATACAATATACCTCGTTTATCAGTATCCAAATAACTAAGCAATAAAAAACATATCTTAAGACTAAAATGATATACTATACATATTTATTCGAGTTTTTAAATAACATTAAAAAATATGTTGGAGTTTTCTTAAATTTTAAGTAAAATTTGTGATTCTTGGCCAGAAGTTGGGCATTTCTTGGCCACCTGGAAGTTGGTCCAGTAGTGTTCATTTGATGCTGCATCCATGTTAATGGTTTATATTGAGTGTCAGAATGATTTACAACACATGACGTACATAATGCATACAACTACAGTCGATTCACTCACAGTGACAACACTTAACACAGATATAGTTCACTTCTGAATAATTATTCCCTAAACATTCAATTCATTCATTATATATATATATATATTAAAGTATGGGAAAACAATATAATCAAGTAGCAAGAAAGAGAATGAGAGGCCGGGAAGAAACAGGGAAAAGGGCTACAAAACTTGAATATAAATTCTAAGTGATCGTACATGATACATAACCCCCCCCCCCCCCAAAACAAGTGTTTGAATCACTCACAAACAAAACAATTACCTAACCAACATGTCACCAAAGCAACGTCCTTCTGCCTGCCTGTATATCCTCCTGCTGGTCTTATTCCTTAAACTGATATTGACAGACAAATCGCATTGGATTCTCACAGTTCATATCGAAGAGCATTGGTTGCTTTCCAGCATGAAACGCGAGGCAGAACTCCTTGTCCCACTCGTTGTTGGGTTCCCCTTCCATCCAGTCACCTTCCTGGACTTTGGTCTCGTCCAGCCACTTGAATTGACCGTTCTCCTCGGCGTCTCTGCCTCCCACAAACACCTTCACCCCGCCTGTAACACAAGTCTTACGTGGATAACAACGCAAAGGAGAGAGTCACGATTTAAACAATCCTTTTTTAAAATGGATATATCATTCACATTCTTCTACTAAAGAAAACACCCATTCTATATTATTTATATATATATATATATATATATATATATATATATATATATATATATATATATATATATATATATATATATATATATATGCGGAAAAAACACATTTGAAAAATAGGGAATGCTTAATGCGTTTTCGTCTAATTTGCCTTCATCAGAGCAAAGTAGAATGAAGTAGAAATGAATGAAGCCTTCATTCTGCTTTGCTCTGATGAAGGCGAATTAGACGAAAACGCGTTAAGCATTCTTTGTTTTTAAAATGTGGTTTTTCCGCATACTTGGATCAGTGTTTTTGTGATAATTGTTCCATATATATACCTATATATATATATATATATATATATATATATATATATATATATATATATATATATATATATATATATATATATATATATATATATATATATATATATATACGCCGGGGGGTACCCGGCGTTGCCCGGGTCTGTTTGTGTCTCCTATCTGTCTCTAAAACTATCCATTCGTCTATTTATTTATCCATTCATCTATCCATTCATCAATCTATCTATAAATCTATTAATCTATCCCTCCATCTATCTATCCATAACCTTGATCAAACCTAACCTAACTTACCTATCCTAACCTAACCTAACCTAACTATTGGTAATTCATATTCTTAATGTAATATAATAATCTAATTCAAATAAATCAATTTGAAAACAAATATTTAAAAATAACGAAACAAATATATCATTAACTCGGACCATTCCTTTCCCCCCGTCCCATCCCAAATCCTTATCCTGACCCCTTCTAGATCCTATATAGTCGTAATGGCTTGGCGCTTTTCCCCTGATAATTCCCTCCTCTCGGACCATGGGAGCCTCGAACCGCAGGTCACTATAGCAGTAGCTCGTAGCTCTACCTACTGACCTATTGAACACCCACAATAAAGGTGGTTTTCAAAGAGGTGGTAATCTGAAATGGGACTTCATCACTGTTGGTCGTGGATCCCAGTGGACACGAAATCGATAGGCACAAAAAGTAACGTAACGCCAACGGACCGTACTAGACAACGGTGGAGGCGGATATCATCGCAACTGTCCGTCAGTGCATGAAAGGTCAAAATACGTGGCCCAATTATTTTGTACTAAACAAATAACGGAAGGATGGAGTGTGTGTGACGTCGGGAGAGCATGAGAACTACGGCGAGGGACCCTTGTGTTAACGGGAGCTATAACGTGGACGGGAATATTATAAGAAGCATTAGTACACAAGCCGGCTGCCAACGTCATTACAGTATTACTCCTACTGCCAGGGAGCCAGCTTGGGCATGGAGAGGACTATAAGGTAGACATAGCGACTAAGAATGGTCAATTACAGTAGGGGGTCATGGCAACAGTATAGAGCACCCCTTGGGAGAGGGAAAGTTGGTTCTAGGTCGAACCAGTTCTAGCGTCTGGTGTCCCACCACAAGAATCAGGGAGGAAGAGGGGTGCCTACACGCGAATGGAGCATAAAAATGAGGAGAGACCACTTCCCAGCACCCCAACCCATCATAGAGCCTAACAAAGGGTAGATACAGGCACGCAGGCAATTTCCGGATATACAAGAAGAGCAGACGCAGATAATCACTGAAGGGTTTTCAAGCAACTCATGGGCCAATAGGAATTCCAAGCCTCTAATACCTAATTGACCCAAATCTAACCATGCCCAGTTTACGGCTGTTCCTGTGGAACGTGCCCAGGGGTCACGGCAGCTGGTTAGGTTTAACCATCATACGACGAAGCACTGGAGAGTATACGAGTCTCCGTGCACAGTAAAGGCACAGGTGAAACCACTGGGTATGACTGTGCATCATCCCAGCAGGCAGGAGAGGGGAAGCAGGTCCTGCCCGTAGAATAAAAGAAGGGGAGCGGACGCCCCCCACATCCATCCATGGGCGACATCACGTCAAGGCACCTGCACCCTGGAAGGGACTAATGTCAGTAGTCCGACAAGCAGTGAATACAGATTTGTGAGATCCGAGATCTGTACGACTTTCCTAACATTTCTCACAGATGAAATATTACGAAAAAATAGTAAAAAAAAATATATTTTGCTTTGAAACAAAGCTTACATTATTTTCGTATATGATGCATCGTCTGCACTTGAACAGGTCATTAAAATGGCAATATTACTTCAGGTCCTGGACGGACCAAAACGTCGTCGTCCCTTCATCTTCTAGTGTGTGGTCTGGTCAACATACTTCAGCCACGTTATTGTGACTCATCGTCACCATCATCTTGTTTGATCCAAACTATCAAACAAAACACGGAAATTATTTAATACCACATTTAGTATACACATATGTTAATCATAATAAGTTAAAGAGTCTCTAGCAGTCTCATGTTATGGGTACAAGCGATTGCGACTCTCAAAGAAGGTAGAGAGGAGGTGTTAGGATGGACTTAAGCATCATTGTACATGCTATTATGTTTAGTAATGTATATTATTTATGCCATAGGAACATAATACTAATGGACACTATTGGGCCTGTAGAGTTCTAATAGACGAATAGTGTAGCAGATAACTCGGCAGATCTACACGAAGGATCAGTTAGCAAACTATTAAACAAAATTATATGGCCATTTTGGTAATGTTGCCCTTGAGTACCTTTCCTTCCCGGCATTCTAGATAGATAAGACCAACCACTTGGGGTGGACGGTAGAGCGACGGTAGAGCGTCATGCAGGACGGCGTTCAATCCCCCGACCGTCCAGGTGGTTGGGCACCATTCCTTTCCCTACCGTCTCACCCCAAATCCTAACCCTTCCCAGTGCTATATAGTCGTAATAGCTTGGCGCTCTCCCCCCTGACACTTCTCTCCCGTCCCTCTAGATAGATGAAATATTATTGTCATGCTATTGTGGAGAGTCATACTAACCCGAAGGTTAGTATGACTCAACATACTAACATACTCAACATACGTTAGTCTGGTCAACATACTAACCCGAACTTTTAAAAATGTTATCTTTGAGGGCGACTTGGTGCTTAGGCGTAGCCAAATCTCCATCTGCTTTAAGGCAGATTGCACGTGCCTCGTGCCACGTCATCATTTCTTCACTTACGAAGAAGCATTCAGCATGCACGTTGTAGTATGGAGAAGGGCAGCATCTGTCTGCAGGAAGACGTGTCTCAGAACATATGATTACATTATGAGTATTCACCTCTCGCCAACGAGACATTTTAGAGAACAAGTTATGAAGTTATCAGTGACTAAATATTATGAGTTAAATCATGGGTCTCAATACTACACAAATATTCTACACCGATATCAATTTAATTCATGGTAATATTATGTAAGGGATAATTTCTTGATCAAACTATTTAATCTTCCCTTTTAAGAATACCTTTAAAAAAATCAAATAATGAAAATAAATTGACTAGAATATATTATATCAAGAATTTAGAATTATTTCTTACCTATACCAGCAAAAGTGACTGTCAGTATACCAACACACAAATACATACTTCTTGAAATTTTATAAAGTACATGGAAATGCTTGCGACACAACATTCAATTTTCTGGGCAGAGATGTTGGTGCTGGTTGATCAGTCCAGCAACAAGGAGGCCTGGTCGATGACCTGGCCGCGGGGACGCTAAGCTCCGGAAGCACCTCAAGGTAACCTCAAGGTAAGGTAGGACATATGAAGTTGATGAAATGTAAAGTTGATAGGTTCAGTTGATAAAAGGTTTAGTTCTTATCAGCTATAAATGATGATAGATGCAGTAAGTGAAAGATGCAGTTAGCGATAGGTGAAGTTTAAGAGAAGTACTCTTGAAAACCGGTTCAAACAGAGATCTGGTGCATTATATGAGAGGATCAGTTTATGACATGCAGGTGATATTAAGTGATGTATATGGCTGGGGCAGTTGATGACAAGTTTATTAGCTAATCACAGGTGAACTTGATGACAAGTTTATTAGCTAATCACAGCTAGGTGCAACTAATCACAGGTGCAGTTGAAGACAGGTGCTAATAGGGAGAGTTAGAGGAGTTGAGTTGAATGGAGTGGAAATTTCCTTATTATAGTTGAGTTGCGGGACAATTGAAACAGGCGGATTAGAGGTCAGGTGAAGATGCAATAGAATACAGGTGAAAGTGCAATAGAGGACAGGTGAAGATGCAATAGAGGATAGGTGAAAGTGCAATAGAGGACAGGTGAAGATGCAATAGAATACAGGTGAAAGTGCAATAGAGGACAGGTGAAGATGCAATAGAGGACAGGTGAAAGTGCAATAGAGGACAGGTGAAGATGCAATAGAATACAGGTGAAAATGCAATAGAGGACCGGGTAAAATGTAGTAAAGGGCAGGTAAAGATGGAGTAGAGGACAGGTGAAGAAGCAGTAGAGGTCAGGTGAAAAAGATGCATTAGAGAAGTATTTCCAAACCCATATAAAATCACAGACCCCACGACCCACAGGCGAGTTTCCCTAATTAAATACAAATATAAATATTATCCACAATGTACACGTAACTTTGGCTTGTTTGTACTCTAGTTGGGGCTTCCCAGTGTTGCCCACGAGACGGACGTGTTCACTACTCGCTATCTTTATTTTACTGTGACTATCTCTACTATACACTGTCTCCATCACTGCAACCATCTTCCCTCCACACTATGTATCACTGTAACCAAGTTCCTTACAGACTATCTTCGTTACTGTAACCATCTTAATTATTCAGCATTAAATCTGCTCACTCTTTTGCCAGCTTCTCTGTCTAACTACTTGTATTGGACGGTAGAGTGAGAGTCTCGCTTCTTGCAAGATCGGTGTTCAATCCCCTACCGTCCATGTGGTTGGACACTATTTCTTCCCTCCCTCCTATCCCAAATCCTTATTTTCAGATCTCTTCAAAGTGCTTATTCCTGATTATTACCTTACCTTGCCTCCTTCTCTACCTTTCCGTACCCCTTCAGTGCTTCCTTCTTACTTTACCACCTTCCCTACATTTCACCACCCTTCCAGTAAACGCCACATCTTCACTACACACTATCTTCATCACTGTAACCATTTTCACTGCTCACTATCTTCCTAGCTGTTACCTCTTCCCTATGCACAATCCTCTACACAGTAAACATCTTAACTACACAATTTCTCTCTTTTTGACGACCTTCCCTCCCCATCACCACCTTTCCTACCCTTTACCAACTTCCCTATCCTTCACCACCTTCCCTGCCCTACACCTCCTTCCTTACTCTTCACCCTTTGCCCTCGTCTATTCTTTACTTTCCTCTCATCCCTGCAGCCCAACTACTTGGTCTGAACGATAGAGTGACGGTCTCGCATCATGCAGGTCGGCGTTCAATCCCCCGACCATCCTAGTGGTTAGGCACCATTCCTTCCCCTCCCCATCACAGCCCAAGTCCTTATCCTGAACCCTTCCCAGTGCCGTATAGTCGTAATGGCTTGGCACTTTCTCCCGATAGTTCCTTTCCCCTTCATCCCTGCAACATAGTGAGAACAAAGTCTTGTATTTAGCGAGTTGGAAGTTAGTGTGATTTGCATTTCCATGCGAAAGAGGGGACTTATGACGATCCCCCGGACAAAGACCGGTTACCCTGCAAAGCTTATTGAGGCTAGCCGCAAGCGTCCGGCTCCCCTACCTCGGACAGGCCAACAAACAGCCATTCTCCTCTACAGATATAGCGGAATCAATTAGCAGTAAATTGAACCGTTTTCCTTTTCGTTGTATTTTACTTCTGTCATGGAAATAAAAATAGTTTCCTTACAGATGTGCCAAATGGGAAAATTAACGGCGTGTTTGTGTCTTCTCTGGATGACATACATTCTTGGTGGTAAAATGGGAATATTTCAGTGATTTTGCACAAGTTTGCTTACCAACTGGAAAACATTTTTGCATGAATGTACATAGTTTGTCCTGCACATTAATAATTCAGAGTTGGAAGCATTGCTTGCTCTGGTGTTCGGGGGACTGTCTGATAAATATTCTGACTCCAACATCCAAGATTTATCCTCGAAACTGTTACCAAGGTCTGAGCTCTCTGATGAACGAAAGTCTGCCAGCTCTCTCCGCAAGTCTCCATGATATAACCAGCACGCTTCAGAGTGGATCAGCATGCCCTGAAATTCAGCACTCATTTCATGACTAACTGTTCCAAACAGTCTGAGTTTCATGAAATAACAGAAATAACAGAACCTGATGTAATTCAGCATTAATGCGTTTTGCTACAAGTACCTCACTTGTCTCCTTCTATAAATGTAATAACTTTGCGACAACCTGTTATTGCTGGGATGCGATCATTGCTCACATCCACACGACGACACTATTGATTTATACTCCATGCATGCATACAAGACCCAAAAATGTCCACTCCGTTAATCTTACCCTCTATGGCTTTGTAAAATAGTATCACTTCTATAAATTTCTTCTTCTTGATAAACCTAATGTACCCAATCAGTTCAGCTTTATTTGCGACACTTGTGCTCACGTTTATTTGCAATACAAAGTACTCATCGGTTCTCACCTGCTCCAAAAAAATTTACAGATATTTTCGAACATTTTTTTCTTTTTTGAGATATATACAAGAGTTGTTACATTCTTGTGCAGCCACTAGTACGCGTAGCGTTTCGGGCAGGTCCCTGGAATACGATCCCCGCCGCGAAGAATCGTTTTTACAACCAAGTACACATTTTACTCTTGAGTTAAACAGAGGCTACAGTTAAGGAATTGCGCCCAGTAAATCCTCCCCGGCCAGGATACGAACCCATGACAAAGCGCTCGCGGAACGCCAGCGAGTGTCTCACCACTACACCACGGAGACTTCGTTATTTTGCTCACAGTACTGTTCGATAAGGGTCTACAACAACCTGCTTTGATGGTAAATCCCCAAACAACTCCTGCGCAGTGGCTCAGCTTGTACCAAGAAATTTTCCCTGATCGTGTGTGGTTTCTTTCAATGGTCAATGCGAAAAAATGGATGCTTTGAATGCTCTCTCTGGAGCTGGGACTTGCTGTCTGAATGCACTTGCCTTTCTGGTTAGTTAAAATTTTTGTAGTTTAAAGAAGTCAACTAGTATTCTGTAATGAGCGGGGTGTTTCTGTTGTTAGTGTTCTCGTAGTTTTCATAGTTAAACATTCATTAGAAAATATCGCCATTCACTGAAGAGTATCTCTTGAGAGAAAACACACATCTGACACTCCACTTCATCTTTTATCGTCAGAGATATAAACCAATTTGCAATATAACAGGAATCTTACGGGCTATTCATGCCCGTGCCACCTCTTGGGTGGCTTAATCTTCATCAATCAATCAACAGGAATCATTCTTCGTCATTTGTGCTCCAACTTCTTGCCACACTTGGTTTTGATGAAGCGATTGATTGATTGATGAATATTAAGCCACCGTAAGAGGTGGCACGGGGATGAGTAGCCCGTAGATGATAGATGTTTGGAGTGAATGTGATCTATGGTCGTGTAGCATCTTGAAGTGTCTCTGGGCCCTCAGTGAATGACTTACGTTTCGGAATCTTTCCATTTTGAATTTACACCGTGACCAAACAACTTCTACTACCATAAAAATATATTACTACTTATGAAACCTGTTGGAGACGTGATATTTCACATTGAGTCCTACAACACAAAGATAAATTAATTATAAACTTTGTACATAGAACTAGAGTTAGAAAATCTACCACCACCTGCCGAAAAAAATTTAAGATATTATTAAAATAATTAGACGTATGGTATTGGTTTCTGGATTTTTCATAAGAGATAATTCCTGGCTTTACATAATGTCTAGTTATAAAGATACTGAGGAAAAGAAAAGTAAAAATGTGCTAATATAATTACGTCCATCGCAGGTCAGATTTTTCACAATTTGTAAAATTTCTGTTAAAGCCGAGTTAGCGTCCTCGTTCTTCTTGCCTGATGTCTCTTCCTTCTTGCCTGATTTCTCTTTCTTTGAACTCTCTTTTCCCTCCTTGGGACTAGCAGTGGTGGTTTCCTCCTCATCCTTCTGGCTCAGGACGTCTGCAACTAGAGCAGCGAGCAGCAGAAGGAACAGAAGGCGAGAGTAAAGTGGGGCGCCCATGGTTCCTGCTGGGCCTCGTGGCTCTCACTCTCCGTCTCACACTCACCACCTCTGTGGGAGAGACGAGTAGAATATGTAGCAGTGAGCTGTCTGAGTGGATGAAGTTGCAATGAGCTGTGTTTGAGACGAGTGGATGAAGTTGTATAAGCTGCGATCAACAAACAGCTAGTGGTTCAGTCCTGTCTCAATAGCTCTAGCTAATTTTTGGAATTAACAATGACACGAATCATGACCTCCCCGCCATCTTTTTTACGAGCTCCTTTGAGCTTGGAACATGGACTGATTAATAGGGGGGGGAGCAGGTAGAATATCTAATGGCTTGCAAGGGTGAAGAGAGGAATATACAAAAGGACTGCTGGAGACTGGTTGGGAAACAAGGCGCCAAAGATGTCAAGCCACTTCCCTGCTTTCCAGGAAGAGAATTTGAACAGGAGCCAACAAGGGAATTTAAACGGGAACTGAGTGGAGAATTTGAGCGAGAATCCTGTAAGATAACTGAACATCACAACATAATATTAGATATATTTCGACCGTTGAAGATTTGTAAATGCGCAATGTGGATAGGTCGTTATCATCCGGAGAGGCAAGAAATGGTGATAGGTCAATTTTTCCAAGGACAAGGGTTCGAGACAAAGTGAGTGGAATTAGTAAGATCAAGTAATGGGATCAAGATTTCAGAGGCAGCAAACCACAGCCCTCACACCGTGGGGTCGGGGGATCGAGTCCCATAGTGCCTAAGTGTATGAAATGTTTATTTCCACGATAGTGTGGTTGACAGTTTATATGACATGGGCGTGGATCACTAATTCATATGTGCTTAAGAGGGAGGCGGGGAAAGTTGACAATTTCATTTCGGCAGTGATTGGCTGCCTATTAAATGTTTCCTATTGGGTCTCCCGGATAGTTCAGTTGAAAAGCTTCCGCCTCACACCATAGGATTGGCAGTGCGAGTCTCCTAGTGCCTAAGTGAATGAAACTATATATATATATATATAAAATGAGTTAGAATGGACATAAAGAGGAGCTGCTACGTGTGGTCCAATAGGCCTTTTGCAGTTACCTTATTAATTCGTATATTTTTATTTTATGTCAACTCATTAGATTTTCACTGCAATTCCAGCAAATTCATTTAAGTGTTTATAGTGTAAAAGTTCGCTATGACATAATCAAGTAAGGCTCTTTAATACAGGAAAATAGCATACTTTTCGATCATGCCGTCAGTAAAAACTTGTTGAAAACCCGATACGTACTACGAACCATGATTCCTAGTGGTCTACGTCCTCGACTCACAACGGAAGATCCCTATTTCGATCCCCAGGCAGGACAGAGATGTCTTGCCTTGGGACTTCTTGGGTACACTTATTGTGTCCTTGATACCTATGTTCACCAAGCACTAAATAGGTATTGGTAAGATAGGAAACTATTGAGGTTTGCATCCTGTGAAGATTATCAGTAAGAAAAATCAAGAAAATACTTGAATATCCTTAAGGGCTTTCCAGTCGCCAACTATGAGAAGCCATGAGGCGAACTGCCTCATGGCTGGACTAAGTAAACTGCCTGGTTTACTCCAACAACGTCATCACTTAATTCACAGATTGATGGGTATTTGAATTGTATAGTTACCAGGTGTGTGTAGTTACCAGTGATGGAAGGTTTAGTGTTGGTATTGGTGGAGCTACGTGGAACTCTGAGGACACAGCTAGACTCGCTGTGTGGGCAGCTTAGGCAGGTGAAACAACGTGTCTGATCTCAAGAGGAGGTAAAGAAGGAGAGCAGCATCAAGAAGGTTTCGTCTTGGAGTACCACGAAGGACAGGGGACTTAAGAAGACTCTGACAAGGCTTTCTACAACTTTAGTGAACACCTCCAACTCATTCGCCGCGTTGAAAGATGAAAGCTATAGGGAGAGTGCAGTTCACCTGAATGGCAAGGCAATGAACGAAGCCCCAGTAAAATAAGTAAATAAACTAATTTTGATTGTGGGTGAACACTTAGATGAGGTATGTGCAAAAAACGTTTTATGTGGAGATAGAGGGAACAGGTTAAGGGTTTGCTATCCGGGAGGAGGAAGAGGGAATATTCTAAACAACCTGAATGACACTATGACTGGAAATGGGAAGAAACTCGTTATTTGGATCAGTGCCCATGGAAATTAAATCAGATGAGATAGGAGTGAGGCACTAATGAAGAGGTTTAAGACAGCCAGAGGTTTAGGAGCAAGGGAGCGATTCCGGTCACATGTGGCATTCTTTCAAGATGGGAAGTTAGAAATGAATGTCCCACTAGACAAATATTGTAAATGAAATGCAGTATCATTTATTGATAACTGGGAACACTTCTTCGGAAGGAATGCTATGTGCTCCGGATGGAGTTAATTTATCTAGGGCTCGGGTTATTGCTTTTGCCAATTCGCTAAAATCTGTAGTTGGAGGGTTTTCTTTGGGTTTGAGCTGTTAGACGATATTGTGTTGCTATCCTGGCTTCTGTCATACGCTCGTACTTCTCTTGTGTGTTGTTATCCTTGCTTCTGTCATTCGTCCGTACTTCCCTTGTGTGTTGCTATCCTTATTATATCTTAAATCATTTCAGCTTAAATAATATTCGAAAATTAGTTACACTTCGAATCACTTTCAGTTTGTTTTTATAGTTTTCCAAAATTCTATGAATAAAGACCAATAAAAAACTGCTAAATAAAGCTTTACACGCTGGACGTTTGTCCTTACCTGACCAACGTCCTAAAAGATTCTACTGCCTCAAGCTGTTCCAGGCTCCTTTTTGACAACCTAAATTCAATATTTTGACATCCCGAAGGTTTTGTCATGACTGCCACACCCTTACAAAAAGTCGCAGTTTGCATTGAAACGATTAAACATTTGAGATTTTTTTACAATATTTATCTGGATTAAATAACAGAGATCAAGTTCGCCTAAACAGACTGTGACATAAATCTTGAGAGAGAGAGAGAGAGAGAGAGAGAGAGAGAGAGAGAGAGAGAGAGAGAGAGAGAGAGAGAGAGAGAGAGAGAGAGAGAGAGAGAGAGAGAGAGAGAGAGAGAGAGAGAGAGAGAGAGAGAGAGAGAGAGAGAGAGAGTGAGAGTGTGTGTGAGTGAGTGAGTCTAGAGTTAATACTTGAGGTCTCTTTGATCAAGGATCACAGAAGACTTTCATCACACAACAATTAGTTGAGCACTTAAAATTAAAACCTGCCAAACGTGTGAAATTGAATATCTCTGGGTTCTTGACTAACAGTGTACGTCGTGAATACCAAGTAGTCAAGGTGGTTAGTAAGACTTGGGTCTTCCACTAATTCCATACAAGCGGTAGTAGTAGATAAGCTTCCTTTAGACCTGCAGGTCACAGGACTAGCTCGCACTACGAAATATCTCAGACGTAACCGCATGAGGCCAGCGGATCACAAAATAAATTCTGACTGCCTCACAGACGTTGGTATCCTAATAAGTGCTGACTATTATTACAGATTTATAACAGGATGCAGCAGACAATTCGGAATGAATTTGTTGTCATCTGCTGGAGGCAAATTGCTAACATGACCGGTGCTTTTCCAGCAAATTTCTGTACCAACCAACAAACAACCAAACAACTCAATAGTGGCGTGACTAGGCTTGGAAGTCACCCCTACATTTCAGGGAAATATCTGAAGATAATGAGTCTGATCCACCTGTATTTCGACTGTGGGATTTAGACACTTTAGGTATTGTCCCTGATAAACCAAGCCCTGATGATACGTTGACTTACCAGCAATATCTGGACACAGTTATCTATAAAGACAAACTGATATGGGTGAAACTGATATGGAAGTTGAATCATCCACAACTCCCAGTTAATTATTTCATGGCAGCCTCCCAATTAAAGTCTCAATTAATACGGCTACAAAAACAGCCAGATAAATTGAACATGTATCATCAATTAATTCAACAGTAAATTTATTGAAGTTGTTAATAATGATGACCGAAAAAGAGGTCACTATCTACCCCATCACGCTGTAATGAAAGACTCAGTGACGACACCAATACGTATTGTCTTTAACTGTAGTGCCAAAGTGAAGGCAAACAGCGTGTCCTTGAATGAGTGTCTCCAAACGGGACCTAGCCTGGCACAAAGGTTACACGACGTATTGTTACGATTCCGTACTGGTATTTTCGCTTATACTGCTGATATCAATAAAGCTTTCCTTAGAGTAGGCTTACAAGAGGAGGATCGTAATTATACCAAATTTCTCTGAATTAAGGACCCACTGGATCCTGACAGTGATATCGTAACCTACAGGTTTGCCTCTGTGCTATTCGGCGCGACTTCTTCACCGTTTCTACTTCAAGCAACATTTGAGGGAACCACTAATGACAAACTCAAATTGGTAGAAATCTACCATGAGGCTAATCGTGAGTTGTTAGGAGCCAATATGCCACTACAATCATGGGCCTCAAACAATAAACCAGATAATCGAGAAAGAATTTCCTGGTTATCGGGTACCTAATCAATTAAAAGTTCTGTGCGTGGAATGGAACACAGTTACTGACGAGATGAATGTCAAGTCAGTACAAACAAATAATTCAACCCTTACCATGATAAAATTACTCTCGTATGTCACTCAACAAATTTTGTGTTGGGAAGAAAGCTTACTCTCAATAAATTGATGTTTAATTAACTGATTTAAATTAATCGAAGGACCACCCTATTTTTACTGAAAAGGGAAACAGATAAATGAACGATAGAAAAGGACTGAAATACCAGTGCCTGTGGATAATGTAACTATTAAGAGTTATTCCTTGAACATTAATGGACTGTAAATTAAATTGTTATTCAAAGAGTAAACTTTCCCTCCTTCACAAATGGGGGGTTAATGCCAGAAGTAAAGTACTCCCAGTACACTTCATCGAGGCTGGTTCTTCCTCTAATAATATTAGTAACTCTTACTAAGATATAAATAAATAAATATTTGATAAATTGGTTAGTAGCAAGAATATATCGGATCATGATTAAACAAGAAAATTATTCTCATCTAAAGTTTATGAGGCTATCAAATTATGCTTTA